TTTTTTTAATAAATTTTGATTTTACCGTCGTGAAAAATAAATAAAGGTACCAACAGCCACTGGTCCTGCTATTAATATGCCAAATCCTAAACCTAAACATAATTTCAAACGATAGTTTTCATCTTGAAGGTCTTTAATAGAATTTCTTAATGATAATAGCTGAATATCATATGATGAATCTGTTGTTGTTTGTGTAATAGTATTTGGATTTATAGTTGCTGTTACATTTATCCAACAATCCCAATATAAACATACTGGTAAACAAGTTATTGTTGCTAAAACTATATTTATATTTATGTATTAGAACTTATCAATTAATAATAAACCTATGCTATATCAACTATTTTTTCCTTTAATAATTCTCATTACTATTAAAATTATCTTCTTTGCTACAATAATATTATTATATGTTTAAAGCATTTAAACTTCAAACTTTCTTAAAAATAAATGTACTTCCATTTTCATTTTCAAAACGTTCAAATAATATTTGTTTATAACTGGCAAAATATAAAAGAAATTTTCATAACTGTAGATTGTTTTACAATAATCTTTTCCTTTTAAAACTATTTCTTATTGAAAAAAGTATAAATAAATTTAATCCCTATAGAGAAAAAAAATATATGCAGTTTATCAATAAACTATTTTATTAAAATTAATAATTTTCTTTTTTCCTTACCTGCTGTTGTTGTTGAGCTTGAACTACTACTAGTTGAAGTAGTACTTGTGGAAGTACTCGAATTTGATGTACTGGTAGTTGTCGTCTTCGTTGTCGAAATTGTACTGGTGGTACTTGTCGAACTTGTACTATTAGTACTGATTGTGACCGACGTGCTTGTAGTACTTGTTGTCGCTGTAGTATTAGTGGAAGTTGTACTAGTAGTGCTAGTTGTTCCTGTTGTAATGGTCGAGATTGTACTAGTAGAACTAGTTATTATGCTGGTTGTTCTGTCAGTAGTACTAGTTGCTACGCTCGTTGTTGCTGATGATGTACTGGTAGTACTTGCCGAAGTACCGGTTTTAGACGTACTACTAGTTGCGGTAGTTTTTACTAAAATATGAACAAAATAGAAGACGTATGAATTTTAAATAAGAAGGAAAAATTACGTATGTTACTCAATGTTGAAATTATAGTTGAAGATGTGGTTGTTGCTAGTTGATAAAAAAAAGAGAGAATTGATTTTGAAGTTTGTAAGGTAATTAAATTAAAGCTGATTCTGTTGATCAAAAGCTTAAGTTCTTGATAGAAGTTTAGAAAATATGTAGCTACACTCGTTTAGTGAGATTTTTAATGTTAAATACTATAGAAAATATATCATTAGTTTTCTTTGTGCAGAAAATATTGCAGACAAGAATTAGTAGCCGAAATAAATGGATTATGAATTTTTCACTTAATAATTAAAGATAAGCTCACTTGGTACTTGAATAATATTCCTGTACCAGCATAGTCGTTGTTGTTAACGTTCTACTTGTTATAATCACTATTAAATCGTTAAAGAACTCATAGAAATTAATCTTTAAATATCTCACATATGATAACTGCTCTTTAATATTGTTCTTAGGAAATGAATTCTATCTATATTTGAAATTTATTCTATTTTATAATAAAGCTTATTTTGACATGTTTAAAACTTACTACAAGAACCGACAAATTTTTGAACACGATTATTATAAGTATCAGCAACAATAAGATCTCCATTTGGATCAAATTTAACATTGAATGGATAATACAATTGATTTGGCAATGTTGCATAATATATGATTCCAGCTATCATCGTACCAGAAGTTGATCCTATCTTCCATTGCATAATGCGATAGTTCGTAGAATCTGCAATATATATATACCCATTTTTGTCTTTAATGACTGACGATGGAAAACATAGTTGGTTAAGCCCTGAACCACAAACGCCTGTTTGGCCAGCCACTGTTGTGCCGTTAGGTGCTCCTTGTAACCACATTTGAATTCGATGATTAAATGTATCTGCAACATAAATCGTGTTCGAATTAATTGTATCAACAAAGAGTCCGAATGGTAAGTAGAATTGGTCCGATCTTGTTCCATTACTTCCACAAACAATAATACTTGTTGATGGAGATTCCCATCGAACGATCCGACTATTATATGTATCAGCAATCCAAATAAATAATGTAATGGGATCAATAAAAAATCCACAAGGAAGATATAGTTGATTACTACGATCGCCCATATCATTTCCACCAGCGACGACTATTCCATTACTTGCACCAGGTATCCATTTAGTTACACGTTCATTTTCAAGATCAAGAATATAAATATTTCCACTAAGATCTACACTAATACCATTCACTGAAATAAATAAATAAACGTCAAAAAATCTAAATATTGATTATTAAAAGATAGAATTACTGGTATAGAATTGATTCAGTTTATAACCAGAAGTGCCATTGATGATTGTTGTTCCAATAGTCGAATTGCGAAAAAAACGTTGCACCCGAAGATTTCCACTGTCTAAGACATAAAGAGTGCCATTCTGATCAATGAATACGTCTTGCGGCATATTAAGATATGCTGCAGTGTTGTTTGACAAGCCTAATGATGAACCAGCAATTGTTATTCCATTGGATGACCAAGTCATGTTTGAGCAAATAATTTGAGCTCGATATTGTTCAAATGAAAATCTAAAGCAAAATACCTATTAGTATCGTTCATTTATTGAATGAGATATTACATACATTGTTATATATATGGTTACCAACCATAGTTGTTTGAAATATAAGTTTAACATTGTGACTATTAGCTAAATAATATAAAGAATGAAATAAATAATTTGTTCACATAAATTACTTAAGAAATCTTGTTTAAAACTAGTTTATAGTTTCATATTAATTGTGGCTCTCTCTCTACAACTCTGATATTCATGTATGAGCGAATAAAAAATATTGATTAATTTATCTAGGTGCTCTATTACGATGAAAATTATTGTTTAATTTCTGGATGAATAATTAACTTGAAAATGTTTCAAGTGACAATATTATATATTTTGTAAAATAGCTTATTTCATTTTTTTGCTATTAAGTTTCAGCTGATGAGAAAAATATCATTTATATTCATCTCATTAGAAAGCTAAAAATAAAAATAATATTTATGAAAGTCATGTATTCATGATATGAATAGTCTAACCAGGGAACCACTTGAAGTGTTGAAAAACTTTTTTAGCTCAAATTTTGTCGATAAGTAAGGAGTGTATAGATTAGGAAAAGTCTAAGAGAATATGGGCACAAGTTGAGATGTGGCGTAGATATCGACTTTTTACTAGAATATTCCTATGGGATCCCTTTTTTCGATTTTTCCTAGTCTATATACTTTCTACTTATGAATGAAATTTGAGCTCAAAAGCATTTTAATACCTCGGATATCTCTCTAGTAAGATTTTTATCGTCTTACTCCTTTTACTTTATATTTGTAGTATCTGTAAAAAAATATCAGTAAAATAAATGTTTACCTGTGATATTGCTTGAAAAGAATAGTCTGTTTTTTCTAAAAACATATGATGTGTATATTATTGTTGTAACTTATTTTTATAGTCAATAGTATTCAGTAATAAGTTTTCAAGAAGGAAAAAAAATTTAATAGGTTTTTCCCTTGAGAGAAACAAAAATAACTATTTGAATATTATTTTAATTTCATGCATCAAAGAAAACATTTAATATATATCACGATTCTCTTCTTCTCTTCAAAAGTAATGTTACTCTTTATAGAAACATATTACATCGATTTTATATACATTTATTTTATTCTGAATTTTTTTAATTATTAATAAAATAAATCATTTTCTAATGAGAATATTATATTTATTATTTTGTGCTTTCACAGGTGTTAAAGAAATAATATACTATTTTGATAATGTGTATATCATTAACATCCTCTGGTTAGATTCAGACATCTAAATTTATCCTTAAGGGGAAATATCAACTCGGAACGGTGGATATACCGGGCTTTCGTAACCCGAAAGCCCTGTCATTTCTTTTCAACAGGACTTTCTTACCTGAGTTTAACTGGGCTTTCGTATCGATTTTGACAGGGCTTTCGTATCGAGTTTTAACGGGGCTTTTATATCGGAATTTAACAGGGCTTTCGCATCGGTTTTAACAGGGCATTCGTAATAAATTTTGTATTGCATTGATACATAAGCTAAAAAACTAATACTCCATAAGAAAACAAGGTATTCGTTGCGAATACTCTTGAGAGCATATATATATGTATATATATTTAGTTAGTAAGTACGATCCATTCGTAACGAATAAAAAGTCTTTTT